ACTTTTCATCTGTTGTTAGTATGCATGAACTGAAACTTCACACCGAGTATTAGAGAATGGTCCTAAATGACTGGTAATGGGAAAACTGGAATAAGATGCCATTCTGGCGCTACTCACTGGGCGAGTTGTTTGCTGTGTAATTGGTAGCGATGCTCAGGTGTGGATCTCTGTTTTTCTTCTCACCGTATAACTTTCCTGTTGATGCCTGTCTGGAGAAATGTTAAGATCTGTCGCTGATGCAGAGCGGTCTCTTCTTGTCTTCTCAGGAGCCAGTTTTATCCAAAGAGCAGCCAGCATTTCAGTACAGCAGTCACGTCTCCCTGCAGGCATCCAGTGGTCACATGTGGTAAGAAGCACTTATTGCTGCAGTAGTGCTTTCGATATAGGACCCCACAGCGCTGAGCTGGGATGCAGTTTGCGGTCTGGAGCTACGGCTGAAAGGTGGGGGGAAGTGGACTGGATTGGACGCATCTGATAGTTAAAATTTTTATGAGCTTCTCCATAGCAGTATCCCAGTTAGCGGTAAGATCTGTTGATTCTCTGCACCAAGAGAGGTTCCAGGCTCATTTATCCTCCTCCTCTGGTCTGGGCTAGGCTGGATTTGAAGAGACATGAAGCAGTTCTCTGTCATCTTCTGCTATACTCAGTTTCTGTCCCTTTCAGTCCTTGGTGCAAGAGGCAAGGCTTCATGCCGGTGTTACCCAGGCAGCAGGGATGTCTCCACTGGTATCCTCTCTCGTTGGAGAGGACTGGGCTTTGGTTCTGTCCCTGCCTGAAGCTGTGCAGTTCTGTGTCTGCAAGGAATTGGCACGTGGGGTTATTCCCAGTTTAGGCCAGCTAAGGCCGTCAGTCTAACTGGCGTTCAAGTCCCCTCTTCTGCAAGCGGAGGTAGGAAAGTGCTCAGCTGAGTTGTTCTTCTCCTGTGCCACAGGGTTAAAGCAGTTTCCCTCTGTTTTGCATTTCAGCTGGGTTACACATTTAGTGTCATCTCTGTGTGGACAAGAAGTGCGTGGCCACCTCTTGCCTTCTGTATGACAGGTCTTTCTGGCTTGTGTTTTTTAAGTAAATCTGTTTCAGAGTTAAGCTGCTTTGGAACTGCCTTTGAGTTGAGAAAAGCAAGAGAGCACCTCTTTGCCTATAGGATACACCCTTGTTTACCATGTTAAGTGTTTTGCATTGCCTGAGTGCATACCAGCTTGTTTAGTAGCTTTTTCCTCTCTGCGTGCATCCTGAAGAGAAAGAGACAAAGGTTCTGCAGCTCAGAAGCTGCTCAGCTTGACTTCTGCTGTTCGATTGTGTCCTCTCTGTCACGAGAACCTGTTACTTTACCTCCAGGATCCTCCTGTCCCTGTCATGTTCTGCATGAAGTACAGTCGGCTGTAGTTCAGGGCAGTAAAATTCCTTGTTTGTACAAGGACAGGCAGATTCAGTTCTGAAATGCCCTTTCTGAAATGCAAAACAGAAGCTATTCCAAATTACATCTGTGATGGGATTTCATGGTGTTGCAGGCTTCTTACCCATTGGAGCTTCTGCCAAGAAATACGAATCTGAATTTATGCGTAATCAGTTTGTAAAAATAGCTCAGATGGCTGTCTCCTGTGGGATGGGAGTTAGGTAAACACTGCCGCAGACGCATGGAGTGCACTTACCTCCTGGAGGCTCCAATCGTGACATCTTTATTCAGGAAATGTATATTAGAGATGTGATGTAAACCGCCCAGGGGTCTTCCAATAAATGAGTCATCTTGGCAGGCCGATGTCCTTGCTGCTGGACCGGCCTCGCAAACACAGCCCCAGAGTCCCCGTGCAGGGTGTGGAAGAGCTCGTGTCTTGCCTTCTTGCTGATGATTCCTAGCTGTGTTTGTCCCTGGCCTCAGTGTGATCTCTGCCGTTATTTTGCAGGGGTACTTTTCGATTTGAGAGGCCTGATGGCTCCCACTTTGATGTCCGAATCCCACCCTTTTCTCTGGAAAGCAACAAAGACGAGAAGACCCCCCCCTCCGGCCTTCACTGGTAGAGCAGACCGAGTGCCGAGACCCACAGAGACCTGTGTGTGTTGTAGACCTTTCCCTCCCCACTATGCTGCAGCCAACCAAGAACACGGAGCTTTTAAACATTTTAGACCATTTTTGTTTTAACTGTTGTCTAACGGGGAGGCTTTTTTGAACTTTAATCCTGGCTCTCTCAGGCTGCTTGTAAACGTAAGCTGTGTTACAGTTAACCCTCCCCTCTGTGGCACCTGCTGGGGTTGGAGCTGGGGGACGTAGGTCTGTGCTGCATCGGAGGACTGGCCCCCTTGGCAGGCCTGGACCCTTTCCAATGTGTTGTGAATTCTCCGCAATGTGAGGTTTCTCTAATAAACTGGCCCTTCCAGTTGCAACCAGTCTTCCTTTATAAACCAAGGCCTAGGCTTTGCATCCAGCCTGCCCCAGCTTGTCGCTCCCCCCTTGCCCATGTACAAAGCGGCATCAGCCCAGGCTTCTTACCGCTTCAGGAGGCAGCAGCGGGGACGGTTTAGGGAGCAGGAACGTGAGCTCGGCCTTCCCGCAATGCAGCTGCTTTCTGGGATTTAGCCAGCGCGTGGCAGAGCAGCCCGTGAGCTCCGCTCCTCGTTGCACAGCTTGCCTGGGCTGTGTGCTGGAGCGATACGAAGCCTGCTTTGTTGGAGAAGAGAGCACAGAGCGGGGAAGGTGGCTTGGCCGGTGGTGCTGAGCAGGCTGCCGCCGTGTCTCGTGTGCGTAGAGCACCGGGCTGCGTGTTGTGATCGTACAGGAGAGCTGGAGGGGGCCCTCCCCCGGCAAGGGCTTGCCTCGCTGCAGGGGTGCGCGTCCCAGCTGCTGGAGGATACCTCCCTGCTCGCGCTGTGGCTGTAACCGAATTTCCTTGGTAGTTTCTGCTTTGGCAGGAAGAGCTTGTTCTAACCTGCCGTGCTGTCAGCCGCAGTGAGGCGGTGCTTGGTTTTCTGCTCCTGCTTGCTCGGCTCGGTGGGTTGTGATTTCTTGGTAGTCTGTGCGGAGGGCGCTGCAGAACCACAGGGCAGCGAAACACCCGTAAGCTTACGACGTACGGATTTGTGAGAACTTTTGCTTTTACGTGTGAAGGGCCTGGTCCACAGTGCAGATTGGATGTTAGCTCTTTACTTGGCAGCTCCGAGGATCGCAAGGATCTGGAGACATCGGCCTCCGTGGTGGGTCCCTTCCCTCTGTCTTTGGGCTTCTGAGGCCAGGCTTGGGGGTGACTCGCGGGGGCGGAGGTAGCTGGCGCTGTGATGGGAGCCCTAGGCAGAAAGTTTCAAACCTTTCTTCTTTCCCTGGTCTTGCTTAAAGAACAAGGTATAACTAACCCACAGGACTGTTGTTTTTCTTGATTCAGAAGTATCCTGGTTATCCCCTCTTCCCCCGAGTCCTCTCTGAGCAGCCTCCTCACGTGTGGCTCTGCAAGGCAATGCCGCGGCAGCGCTATCGGCCGTCTCGGCTGATGGACAAACAGCTTTCGGAAATGACAGTGGGAGAGACATGCACGCTGTCCTGCAGGCAGTGGATGCTTGTGCAGAGAGACTTAAATTACTGCTGCGTAAACAGTGTTTATCTGTCACTGGTCTCTTAATTTGATGTCTTCCTTCCTCTCGGGTAGGACATGCTGTCTACGTTGCTGGTAGGGTGAAAGGCTGACAGCCAGCCTGGGCTTAGGGGCAGAAAAGGATCCGTAAAGCAGAGCCCACAGCTGCCAGCCCCACGTTGCCGCTGTCATGCGGATTCATTTGCGGGAGGAAGCGGGGGGATACGGGGGGGTGACGCCTCGTGTTCAGAGGAAGCAGGGACTGGTGGGAACCTGCTCCTTCCCTCCCATGGGATTGCTCAGCCGGGTTGGAGTAGCAGCTGCCCTGCCTCTCCCTTGGGTGACTGGTTTTCACCGTTACTGGCAGGTGCAGCACTGCTGTAAATGTTTAACGCTGTTGCTCACCTGCCCGTGTGTCGGGGGTGCCGTGGCCCTAACGCTTCCCGTAACGAGCGGAGTTATTGCTAAGGGCGGCGCGGTCCCGGGGGCAGAGCAGTGCTGGCAGCCGAGCTGTGCTCGGTGTGACGGGGCAGGGCTGGGCCCGGGAACAGACGTTCCTGGCTGGGTGACGATGGCCAAGAACCGAGGTGACCGGCGCCGCAGGAGCGCGGGGGTGCTGCGGCGGGGTCGGTCCTTGCCGGGGCTGGGCGCGGGGGCCCGGGGCTTCCTCAGCCCCTTCTTCCCCCAGGAGCTGC